TCAGTCAGTCAGTCAGTCAGTCAGTCAGTCAGTCAGTCAGTCAGTCAGTCAGTCAGTCAGTCAGTCAGTCAGTCAGTCAGTCAGTCAGTCAGTCAGTCAGTCAGTCTGTCAGTCTCAGTCAGTCTCAGTCAGTCAGTCAGTCAGTCAGTCAGTCAGTCTGTCTGTCTGTCTGTCTAAATATATCTCCATCTCAACATTTTTAGATAGTTATATATACAATATATATATCAGGGCTTGACATTAAGCATTCTCATGTGGTTGTCCTTCGGACAAGTAATTTGACAAAAAAGTTACTTGGCCGCAGAGAAAAAAACAAACATTTAAATTAAGTTATAAATATAATTATTTATTGTAGTTATACAAAACATAGTATAGTGTCAAGCCATTTTGAGGCAGAAAGAACAGCTCACTCAATAAGTAGAGTCTGTAATCACTTTTTGGCAAGTGTAAAACAGACGGACACGGACGGCAATCAGTTTTCGGCAGACAATCAATTTTCAGCAAGACACCGGCAAGTATATGCGCTTCCGGGTTTAGCGCTGCCGATTGAAGAGCGTTAGTCAATGAAATGTACAGTTTTGCATTGTGCTTTGAAAACGGCAGGATAGCCTAGATTTATGCTTTCAGTTTGAATAGAAATATCTTATACAGTACAGTTCGTCTATCTAAAATGGTAATTGTGAATTAACAGCTGTCAACAATGTCGGTATGCAAATGCGGGGTCTGAACTTATTTGCACTGCGCATGTTTATTTTGGTCGCGCATGCAGACCTGCGTGTGCACCCCTAAAAAAAGTAGGTGTGTGCGATATTGACAAAAAAGGTATCTCGATATTTTCTGGGATTTTTTCAATAACGATAATTAGACAATATTTTGCTGAGTGTGTTATTGTGCTGATATCTGAAGGACTACTGTGGACAGCTATTGTAAGTATGTTTTCTTAATAGTTTAAGCATTTGCTATTGACTGTTCAAATGTGGAGTTTTGCGTCGTGTAGAGTATCGCATCGTGTGTGTGTGTGAGAGAGAGACAGGGTCACATCACAGTGGAGTCAGCTTTCTTAATCGCGGCTTGTGTACTGCAAATACATACGAGCATCATCACTCTGTCTGTCTCTGTCTCTGTTCCCCTTTCGGGCTTGAACTGATGGTAAAACTAAGGACATTATTTAATGTCTTTACATTTATGTAAAGACATTAAATGAAAGCTGAAGCTCGCGATTATGGAAAGGGGCGTTACATTTCCAACGCGTGCTTGTGGTGTTCGGCCAATCACAATGCACTGGGTCAGCTGAAGTCACTGTTATTAAGCAAGTCATTGCGATTGAACCAAATCATTTAAACGGGTGATTCATTCAGGAATGAAACACCGTCATGTTGCTCAGAGACGCCAATGAGTGCTGTGTTTGGAACTATTTCTGTTGGCGGAATAGTGCAAAAACAAGCAATATGGTGTCTCTTAATATTAACTTCTTGTTTATTGAACTGTTGAAAAATCACATTTGTAATCATGCTGATTTTTGGAGCAAAAAAACGGCGCTCGATCTTCGTGTGATATTGTAACTATATGAAATGAGATTTATATATATATATATATATGAAGAGTTCATTTGCAAAAACCGATAATTCCATTTTAATTTTTTTTTTCAGAAATCACGTTTTTTTATTGCGCATTCCAAGTAATATCAATCAGGACAAAACCGGCTTTTTTGACAAAACGTGTTTAGGGTTCAGATCGCGCTATATGTGGAGAATAATGCACGGCAATCAGCTCCTTTTTTTTTAAAAGTGGCGTTTATCAGTTTTTGCAAACATATATATATATAATGATGTATTATCTAAAATAGGTTATTCATACAATATATGAAAATTATTTTATTTGTGTGTGAACCAATGAACCTCTCATTTAAATATATTATTTTATATTATATTATATGAACAATTCATAATATTTTTATCATCAACATAAAACACACACACACATACTGTATATACAGCTATCTATATATATATTAGCACTTCAAATTTGATTATATTTAATTATGTGAACCAATAATGTAAATCTAAACCTTGAATTTGCATATAATTAACATTATATTAGCATACGGTCCTTATTATAATAATCCCTCTCTGGGTCTCTCTGTTAATATGCTCAGTTCATCAGCATAACAAACGGATGATGTCACGTTTAAATCTTTTTAATGAAGTTGACCCCGCGTCTGTCTTGCCACACAAACACACACTCACTCACTCATGCATTTCTGCTCATTTTAATAGAGAGCAAATCTCTGTGGACTTGCATAAGCCTCTGATCTCTGTCTCTATCTCTCTCTTCTGAGTACTGTGAGTGATGTTATTTTCTTAGAAAGCCTCCAGTCAAGCATCTGTTCTCTCCTCATTAATTTCACCTTTTCTTTCTGTGACTTACAGTAATTTATCAGAAATTTAGCAAAGGACGCTTAAATCAGGACACCTTTGGGTTGTTTATATGTTGATAAACCATTAAAAAAAAAATTCAGTGTACTGGATTGCCTTAGGTCATAATAATTAATACTATTTCTTCATACTTAGTGTTAGTGATTTGAACAAACCCCTAACGCTATAAGTACTAAACTTCAGCATAGCTTATTCTACACCATTTGGGCTAAAACCATAAATGCAAAACCAAAAACACATCTTTGTAACTGCATAGCAATGTGCTACAAACACATATAACACCTTAGCAACCACATAACAACATCCTAGCAACCACCCATAACACATTAGCAACAGCACTGCAAAATGCTAAAAGAAAAAAAAAACACCTTAGAATGTATTAAAAAGCCATATAACAATACCCTGGCAACCACCAACAACACTTTAACAACAACAGAGCAATGTACTTAAAACCACTCAGTACACCCTACTGCATAGCAACATGCTAAAAACACTTAGAAAACCCTAGCAACTGCATAGCAATGTGCTACAAACACTTTGAATACCTTAGCAGCCACATAACAACATCCTAGCGACCACCCAGAACACCCTAGCAACTGCATTACAAAATAAAAAATAAAAAAACACATTAGAATGTATTAAAAAGCCACATAGCAATGCTCTGGCAACCACCAACAACACTTTAACAACAACAGAGCAATGTGTTTAAAACCACTCAGTACACCCTACTGCATAGCAACATGCTAAAAACACTCAGAAAACCATATCGACTGCATGACACCCTAAAAACCACTCCGAACACCCTAGCAACTGCATAGCAATGTGCTACAAACACATAGAATGCCTTAGCAACCACATAACAACACCCTAGCAACCACTTAGCAACCGCATTAACCCCTTGGCAACCACCCAGAATAGCAACATGCTTAGCGACCAGCTAAAACACATAGAACACTTTATCAACCACTTAACACCTTAGCAACCATCTATAACTTCCTAGTAACCGCAGACCAATGTACTAAAAACCACTCAGAACATCTTTGCAACCACAAATCAATGCCCTGACAACCAGCACACACAACATAAAAACTGCATAGCAATGTGCTAAAAACCACTCAAAAAACATTCCAACTGCATAAAAATACCATGACAATTGCCTTGAACTCCCTAGCAACCACATAGCAACACCCTGGCAACCACACGAAAACCCTACCATTGAAACCACACAATTTTTTATAGGCTTTTTGTACAGCGCCTGATGCCTGACATCAAGATAACACTAGCGAGAGAGATCATGAAGTCATTAGTCTCATGGCTAATTGTGTCTTTCCGTGGCAAATGGACCCATTTACATGATGAATCACACGAACACACTCACAGTGAGGAGGTCTTGGAGCACCAGACGACCCTCATTAGTCGTTCTGCAGCTATATAAAGAGCTGTAGTCCATCACTGTGATGGAAAACGAGCATTCATGAATACTGCATGTGGACCCTAACTTTAGCACTGAGCACAACTAGAAGCTACAAGGAGAGTCCGACCTTAAATTTAGCTACAACCAACACAACAACATCAAAGACAACAAAACCATAAAAGCAGAATTACAGACAAAACAACAACAGTTTTAGTTTCATAAAACTAGCCTTTCAGGTCAAAGGTCAATCCAAGTGTGCTAACATGCTAATGCTAACTTGTTGTACTCTTAATTACTTGCTGTAATCAAACAGGTGAAATGATAACAATGGCACTGAAGAAAGGACACCTTGAACCAACCAAACCACCCTAGCAACTGCATAGTAGTGTGCTAAAAACAACCCAGAACACCTTAGCAACCACATAATGACACCCTGGCAACCAAATACAATAACAACAACATATCACCTTAGCAATAATCCAGAACCCCCTTATAACTGCATAGCCACATGTTAAAACACTCAGAACAACATGTAGCAATAGCCTGCCAACTATCCAGAACACCCTAGCAACTGCATAGTAACATGCTAAAAATACCTCAGAACATCTTAGCAACCACATAATGACACTTTGGCAACCAACCATAATACCCTAGCAACCTTGCAGAGCAGTGTGCAAAGGAACACTCTGAGCACTTTTGCAACTATCGTAACATTAAAAACACCTTAGTAATGCCAACACCTTGGTAACCACCTAGAATCCATTTGCAACTAAATAGCAACATGCTAAAAACCACTCAGAACTTAGCAACACCCTGGCAACTAAGCTGAACCCAACAGCAACATGAATACCTAGAATACCTTAGCAACTACACAATGACACCCTGGCAACAGACCAGAACATACTAGCAAAATGCATAGCATTGTGCTAATAAAACAACATAGCTACACCCTGGTAACCAACTTGAACTTCCTAGCACCTGCATAGCAATGAGCAAAAAACTCCTAGAACACCTTGGCAACCACCAACCACTCAACTTAGTAACAAATTTGTAATACCCTGGCAACTAAATAGAAGCATAAAAATGACATATTTAACATGATAAAACATTACATTTTAAATATTTACATCTATTCATGTAGCATAAAAACTACTTAGATTACCTTAGCAACCACATAATGACACCCTGGCAACCAACCAGAATATCCTAGAAAGTGCATAGAATTGTGCTAAAAAGTCAGAAACATTTCAGCAACACCTTGGCAACCAACTGTAACATTCTAGTACCTGCATAGCAATGGGCAAAAAATCTCTTAGGGTGCGTCTCTATCAGCTCCCCAGCTCCCGAGCTTGTGAATCAGTAGATCGTGTACACGAATTCGGTCACTGGTAAGTTCCCTGACTCACTGCACGTTGGTACAGTGATCACTCGAATTCCAGTGACATGATTACGTATAACGTCAACGGACAACAATGTAGAACGTCATTGCTAGAATTAATAAACAACAGGCAGGACCAATCTCATTTTGATATAATTTTTTATTATCTTTAAAGACATTCTTCTGTTACATGCTCTTACAACATTTCAGCCGAATATTAATTATAAATGTTAATTAGATGTGTTCATTACCTGTCTAGCGATGTGTGTTTATGTTGAAATATACTAAGAAAACGGTTTGTCTTTTCAAATCTTCTATCACGTGTCATATTTATCAAATTGGCTTGTGTGGTTTATGTTTTGTGCTTTTTTTATTTCTGGTAAGGGAGCATAGTGAGCGCCCATGCTCCCTAGAATTTGCGATTCATTGTGGGATTTTTCAGGGAGCGAACGTTCCAGTGCACTGGAAGGATTTCGCGATTGAGACAGCCCTTGAAATGGCAGACTCCCTGATCAGTGCCCTGACTACTGAACAAGGGAGCTGATTGAGACGCACCCTTAGAACACCTTAGCAACCGCATTAACACCTTGGCAACCACCCGGAACCTTTTGCAAATGCATAGCAACAAGCTAAAGACCACTCAAAACTAACCAGAACACTCTATTACACGGTACATTTCATTTACCATAAAAACTACTTCGAATACCTTGGCAACCACATAATGACACCCTGGCAACCAACCATAATACCTTAGCAACCACAGAGCAATGTGCAAAAGAACACATAGAACACTTTTACAACTGCATAGCAACGTGCTAAAACCACTCAACAACTTATTAATAACCTGGCAACTAACCAGAAGCATAAAACTACTTACAATACCTTAGCAACCACATAATAACACCCTGGCAAATAACCAGAACATCCTAGCAACTGCATAGCATTTTGCCAAAAACCACTCAAACTTAGTAACACCCTGGCAATTAACTAGAACACTCTATTACATTGTACATTTACTAATTTACATCTGTTCATTTACCATAAAAACTACTTAGAATATCTTAGCAACCACATAATGACACCCAAGCAACCAACCAGAATATCCTAGGAAATGCATAGCGTTGTGCTAAAAACAGTAAAAACAACTCTGGCTACTATACTATAACCTGCAAAGCAATGAGCAAAAAATCTCTTAGAACACCTTAGCAACAGCATTAGCACCTTAGTAACCACCCAGTACCCTTTGCAAATGCATAGCAACAAGCTTTAAAAACTACTCAGGGCAACACTTTGGTAACTAAACAGAACATTGTGTACTTTTTTTACGCAATTTACATGTATTCGTTCAGTATAAACTACTTAGAATGCCTAGCAACCAGAGAGCAATGTGCTAAAACACATTCAGAACACCTTTGCAACTGCATCTCAACAAGCTAAAAACACTTAGGACATCTTAGCAACTGCATAACACCCTGGCAACCACCTAGGTGTTACGGTGGCGGTTGTTAAATTCCCACCCTGATGTCAACCAATCATCACTAAAACAAAAGCAGGCTCTCAGAAAACAGCGAGAGGAATGCAAAATGAGTTGAATGGAGGCCTATGAAGGTACATCAGAAGATTTTCTGGCTGTCACTACATGCTTGAGTTTGGAAATAAGCCTAAATTCAGTTGTGTTCAAGGCCTATGACAGGTCTCAGCACAGTTCATGAAGAGACCCCACCTCCTACAAACACACACGTACAACAGAGAGCAAGAAGAAAGCGGCTCTTTTCTCTTTCTTCTAAATGACTCTTGCATATCTTGATTGTGAATGGCAGCCCTGCAGATGGAGAGAGAGAAAGAAACAGACATCAGAAAGATAGAGCATGGAGGAATGTATCGCTAAAGGGGAACTGACAGTACACTCATCTTTTATTCTTTCTTCTGATGGCCAGCTCAAACCAAAAAGGAGGGAGGAGAAGAAGGGATGGAGGGTGAGAGTGGAGAAAGACTCATTTAGAAGAGTTTAAAAGGCCATATGTTACACTTTTGAAGCAATTTTCGCAATAAGGTTCATTTATAGCTGCGTTCACGCCATCTTGTAATTACCGTAATACCAGTGGCAGCATGTGACGATCTACTCAGAGCGGTTCCACGTCCTCAGTCTGGGAGTTAGTGCCTAGTTAATGTCTAAATGAATCTGGCATCGATCAGGTGGTTCAGCGATCACATGGTCCAAGTTGTAGCTCTCAGAACATTCCAGCTTACAAGTTGTAATTACGAGTTCTCCAAGCATGTGAGCACTTTGGCATTGACAGTGTTGCCATAGAAACACATAATTCCGAGTCCAAGGACTTGGAACTGCTCCGAGTAGAACATCATGTGTTGTCATTTCAGAGTTTCGGAGGTAATTACGACATGGCTTATGATACTTTAGCGATTTCGTCTGCCCATCCAGTCCTGATGGTTAATGGTAAACAAACTTGGCTTGCTGTCCTTAATGGAGGCTTGAACCCGAGACTCAGATTGAGCTCCGAGTTCAACCCCCCTTTGCGATACTACATGCAGGGAGGATAACAGAAATAGTGGAGGAGATGGGGAAGTGGAGGGATGCCGGAAGAATTGTTGTTGGGACAGTGCAATGAGTGCTGCTTATATAGGCTCCTAATGATTATTGACAGGACTGAATGATTAGGCTCTTCCAAAAGATACATTTGGAACTTCATATATGACCCTGGACCACAAAACCCGTCTTAAGTGTCAATTTTTCCGAAATGGAGATTTATGCATCATCTGAAAGCTGAATAAATAAGCTTTCCATTGATGTATGGTATGTTAGGATAGCACGTTTGGCTGAGATACCACTATTTGAAAATCTGGAATCTGAGGGTGCAAAAAAATCGAAATATTGAGAAAATCACCTTTAAAGTTGTCCAAATTAAGTCCTTAGCAATGCATATTACCAATCAAAAACGAAGTTTTGATATATTTAAGGTAGGACATTTACAAAATATCTTCATGGAACATGATCTTTACTTAATATCCTAATGATTTTTGGCATAAAAGAACATATAATTCCGAGTCCACTTGGAACAGCTCCAAGTAGACCATCATGGTAATTATGACATGGCTTACAATGTTTGTGTGTTTTTTGCACCAGAAAGTCATAACTCACTTTTTATGACCATTTCTTAAATATGCACTATACCTTTGAGACTTCAATAGGTAAAGGTGCTCTGAAATGGCAAAAGGAAAGAAGGGACAGAGCAAAACAGATGGGATGATAGTGGTAGTTGAGTTCAAGAGGCAGCTGTGAGTGTCAGATCTAAAACAGGTTGTGAGAGGTATATTGGCTATCTTCAGTGTTCCAACTTCATCTACAGTCACAGAACATGTTGATTCTCCAATTAGGAGAACTTTTCTGCTCCATATGGTGACATTATACCAATATCCAAAATCCAGTTATTCCAAGACTTGTGATATTTCATCATATATGATACAAAGTCTGTTTATGAAACAATGAAGTTTTAAGATTTCATATCAAACATGCTTCTAATTCAAGAATCAAACAAAGTCATGACCTAATAACCACAGCAATTTCTAAATGAGGGGTCTCCAAACTCTGTCCTGGAGGGCCAGTGTCCTGCAGAGTTTAGCTCCAACTTGCCTGGAAGTTTCTAGTATGCCTAATAAGACCTTGATTAGCTGGTTCAAGTGTGTGTAATTAGGGTTGGAGCAAAACTCTGCAGGTCACCGGCCCTCCAGGACAGAGTTTGGAGACCCCCGTTTTAGATGGTCCATTTCTGTAGCCCAGTGGTTCCCAATCCTGGTCCTGGAGAACCCCCAAAACTGCATGTTTTTGATGTCTGTTTTATATGACACACTTTTGAGGTCTTGGAGTCTTTACTACTGAATTGACGAGATGAAGGTGCGTTTGATTTGGGAGCCTTCTGAAATTGGAATCTCCAGGACCAGGATTGGTAACCACTGCTTCAGCCTACTGACAATACATTGGTGCAATGTCTTCACAAAATCCAGTTTTTCCTGATATACTGTATCGCTGTAACAAGCTTCATGGGGCAACGGAAAAAAAGAGAAATGGATGGTGGTTGATGAAAACAGGGTAAAAGGGGAAGGGTGTGAATGAAATGGAAAAAGGAAAGATGGGAGTGGGCAAAACAGATGGGATGATGGTGGTAGTAGAGTTCAAGAAGCAGCTGTGAGTGTCAGATCTAAAACAGGTCATGAGAGGCATATAGGGGGACGGGTGGGAACTAAAGGAAGGTACGATGAGGGTCGAGACTTTGTGAGATTGAGAAACAAAGATTAAAGAAGAAGAGAGGCATGAAAATGTGAAAGTGTATCTGTAGGAAGTGAAATGGTTGGGAAGAGGATGCACCTGATGGAGGAGAGGAACGAGGGATGGGTGAAGGTGTGGAGAGGTGGGCCATAAATCCTGAGGGGGGCGTGGCAAACACAGCTGTTTCAGAACAAGCCAGATGTGAAAGACGAACAAGAGGGATTTTAACTTCAGAATGTAGCTTCTCCTGCACTGTTGTTTATGAACTTTTAAAACGTGAATTTTAGAGCCCGGTCTCATGAAAATGCGTATAAATAGTACGCCAAATAAAAACAAAAACTTGTGGTATTGATACGCAAAAATTGACTTTGGCGTGCATATGATACGCACGTGTTTGGCGTGCATATAATACGCAGTTTTCACGTGCATATGATACGAAATTTGTTAGCGTGCATATGATACTCAGTTTTTCGCGTACATATGATACGCATCTACCCCACAACCCTAATCCTACCCATTGCGTAGCATATAGACGCCAAAGTACATTTTTGTGTATCAATACCATGAGCTTTTGTTTTTATTTGGCGTACTATTTATACACACTTTCGTGAGATCGGGTTGGAATTTTACCACAAATCTTGCGGGATATTTGGAAGAATTTACATGCAACTTATTTGACCTAGTGGGATAAAAGTGCGTATGTGTGTTTTTTGGCCTGCAGCCCACAGCCAGGTGTGGAAGATACAGGTGAGATATCCATCCATCAGATTAGGTGACACACAGACGTCACATTTAAAAGGTTATTTTGATTGAACTCAACCTAGTTTTGAAAGTGAATCTCTGTTCTGTCGTTCATT